CATATGTTGGCTTTAACTCACCTTAAATTCAGAGACAGTAAAGAGTAAGTCGAAAGACCACACTAATACAGATCAGCTGAGATTTTCTCTTTCTACCTTGATAAAAAGTCATCGAGAAGACCTAGTGAGGCCAATAAGCCATTAAAAAACAGGACTTTAAGCCAGTAAAGGAGTTAGAAAATGTGAATTCTTGCTTCCAGTGGGATCATACCAGCTTCCATGTGGATTACCACATTAAAAACACAGTATGAGATATGCAAAGGTACTTGCAAAAACCTACACTGAACAAGGTTTTAAATCATTGTAATTGCATACTTGTGCAATACACACCTTTTGGGATTTGATTTCTCGGTTTAAAAAAACTTAATAGTATCACTCTTTGGAGTAAAAAAAAAGGCCCAAATTGCCTTGGCATGATTGTTGATTTTGGCAGAAATCACTGTAATGGGTTCTTGCCAAGCTCTAGAGACTTGAAAAATTACAAGGTATTTAGAACTCATTTACTTTTATTATTTCCAGTTTGACATGGGTGTTTGATCTTGGTCTTTCTAAGAAAATAATAATTATGGTCTTAGAGTGATTGACCAAAGACTTTCCTCCTTACAGAATTCTGCTAAGGTTCAGAAACTTCGCCTGAGGCCCAACTATGTGAGAGAAATAATTGCTTTATCATCAGTGTACAGCTGTATTGCAAATGTCTGTCACTAGGTTTGAAAAGGTGGAATTCCTTTTCAGTTATGTCGGCTACCATTGAATTTGCCTAGATATAAAACCAGTGGTGGGATTCAGCCAGTTCGCACCACTTCGGCAGAACCGCTAACTAATATTGTATTGCCCAGGCCCAGAGTGGACTTCCAGAAGTGGCTTCCACACAGAGAACTGGTTGTTCACATATTTCAATCCCACCACTGTATAAAACCACATGGAAGTTACGACACAATCCTATTTCACTCTTAGATCAAAATGTGAACAACAAGATGACCAATTTTATTATATTGAATCTGGGAGATAGTATTCCCAGATTACTATCTCCCAGCAGCTTAATTAGGAACGTAACCTCTGATCAATAGGTGTTAGGGGACAGCTTCCACCAGAATCTGTCCTTGGAACAGAATCAAAGGATGATTTTAAGGCTATAAAGGCAACATAGACAGGGTAGTATTGTCCATATAAAGTATGTTTTTTTTTTATCAAACATCATAAGATGATACATTGATTATATCTCTGCCTTCCTTTAAAATCTGCTTCTTCATCAGCAGAGAGTTTCTCCTGGTCCATTCAATCCAGTAATTTGTAGTACAAGAAACGGTCATCTAGTTGCTAGGCATGCTTAATAGATGATACTGTAAACGGCTTGTTCTATTGCTATTGATTTATTTTATTTATTAGATATTTATTTAGATCCCACCTTTATTTTTTACAAATAATTCAAGGCGGTAAGCAAACTTAACACTTCCTCCTTCTCCTATTTGGGTCTAGGACAGCTCACTCCAGCTGATCTGCTGTGGCCAACTTGCCATAGGACAATTTAATGTAGGATATCTCAAGAGAGGGACACGCACATTCTAGCAGGCCTTGTCTTGCTTTAGCTTTGAATCTTCTCATGTTAGAAGTCCTGAAGGCTTGGATGAGCCAGAGCATGGAGTTCCAGCGGCCCATCAGGCCAAGGCATGCACTCGGTTGGCCAAGCTCTGGAGCAAGCACAGCATGCCTGGGTAGTCCTTGCATGGATCCAGGCCAAGGATGCAGTGTGTCTGCAAGAAGAGGCCCACCATTGTCCCTGTTTCTTCCTGGTGTGCCTGCTGTGAGGACCAGCCACTCTGCTGACATCCAGGTACTGGTCCTGTGCCTCAGGGGGTTGGAAGGGGAAGTGTTGGGCACAGGGCTCTTCAGCGGCTTCATTTTAAAAGGGCTCACCAATTTCTCCAGGATTAGAAGGCATGGTGCATCTGTGAGAGGAGGCCCACCACCACCAGCACCACTGCTTCTTCCTGCAATTAGCTTCCTGTACAGGAAAGTATTCTTGTTTTTCACTACCTGCATGAAATGTTTCCAATTTGAAAACTTGCTTTTCTTTCTTAATTAAGTTTTTATAAAGCTTTTTATGGTTGCTTAACTGATATCAGGCACATGAACAATTCTTCTTTTAAAAACTAATATAAATCTCTAGCGGATGTGATCAAATTGGGGTTTCTAAGATGTATAAGCACAGCTGGGTGGGCTGATGAGCAAGTAGAGCACAGAGCACATCAGGGTGGGTGATGGGGAGGCAGGGGTGGCCAGAAGCTTTCCATTTTTACATCCCCCACCACTGCCGCACCGGTCTTTGGAGTGGAAGAGGCTGGGGACAGTGGTGACAGCAGCAATTGGGGTGGGTGGCGAGGAGGCAGTGGCAGCTAGAGGTTTTCCATTTTCACAACCCACCCTACCACTCCCATGACAGGCTCAGAATCCAGGGACATTGGCGATGGTTCCAAGCCCAGGATGGAGCAGTATCCGGATTGGAGCATTGGCAGTGGTCCAAGGTTGGCGCGGATCAGCATCCAGATCAGTGAAATTGATGGTGGCTCCAAGTCTGGCATGGATCAGCATTAGTGCTGAACTCAGAGATGGCAGCAGTGGGGGGTGGGTGGGAAAATGGAAAGCCCCCTGGCCGCTGCCCCATCCCAATGTGCTATGGGCTCTACCCATCTGCCTGCCTGGCTCTCCTCCAGCCACCTGTGGTGAGTTGTCCCTGTAGTGAGTTGGCTGTGTGGAGTTGTCCTGCAATGAACTGGAGGCTGTGAGTTGGCAGAGGTGACTTGGCAGTGGTGACCTGGCAGCAGTCAGATGGCCATGCTGAGATGGTCATGCTGAGTTGTCCTAGATCCTTCATCTTTTGTCACCTTTTGATAAGAAAAGTCAATGGGGAAGCTAGATTCACTTAACAACTGTGTTACTAATTTAACAACTGCAGTCATTCATTTAACAACTGTGGCAAGAAAGTCGAAAATGGGGCAAAACTCACTTAACGACTGTTTTACTTGTCAACAGAAATTTTGGGGTCAGTTGTGGTTGTAAGGTGCAGGCTACCTGTATAGAGCGAACAATGTTCAACTGCTTTCCATTGATCATCCATAGTTAATCTTTTTTTTCAAATAATTTTTTCCACAGTAGATTTACCCATATATTTTGGACTACAGCTTCCATAAGCCTTAGCCAATATAGCTACAGGCTGCTATACCAGTTACAGATTATGGGAATTAGATGGATCTGGAGAGATTACATAAATCTATAGGTGAGGATTTGCATAGTTCTTTACATAATAATTCTAACTAGATATCTACTACCTTTAAAGTTATCTGGTGAAGGAAGGCTAGACCTATCAGGACTGGAAAAAGTATTTGCTAATAAAGTGTAAACATCTAATTGTAGTTTTTCAAAGGCTCCTATCATGTTATGACAACATCTAGGTATTATAAAGCTATCAGTTCTGGCCTGCAAAATGCCTCATGACCGTAAGACTGCAGCAAAGAATCTATTATCTTTAAGTATCTCTACAATTATTGTCTGGATTTTTTTTTTGTTAGGCCCAGGCTACTGCTGGCTAATAGTATAAAAATATGCTTTGCTTTTGTTTTATCTCTTCATTTATAAGAAGATCAAAACAAGAGAAAAATTTGTACATTACAGAGCGAGTGGTAATGGAATGGAATGACCAATTCAATATATAATTAAACTTTATTGAACATTCATGGAGATATTCATTGAAGAACCATGTAAATTATGGATTTATGGAAACTGAACTGTTGTTTTAATTCAGCTCCAAAGTCCACTAATTTGCATTTTATGCAAACTAATGACTGAAATGAAATCAATTACTTAGTGGACTACATGGTTATTTGCAAGCAGCATCCACACAACATTGCTGAACCCTGGTTAACAAGGCAGAATTGCTATGTTCAATAAACAAACAAGCACATGATAAATGGGCTGTTACACATAATAAGATATAGTATGGATGAGTTACCCTAACAATGAATCATAAATTACTGTGTCTTTCTTCCCCTCCCCCCACACAACTAACTACTTATAGGAACTCCACTTCTGTGTGTATAAAGGTAAACATGAAGATTTGCAGAACTCGCAGTATGATTAATAGAGCTGCAAGGATCTTGATCAAAGTAACTTATTTAAATCCCTAATTTAAAAGGAGGGAATATCAAGGTTAAACAAGCAGCAAGTTTGAAAAAGACCTCTTAATCTTGTTATTTTTTTTAATGTGTTTTTAAACTATTGGGAGATACAAAACCTTACTGATCCACTGCAAATGAGATCTTATATCTGCCACCTTCTTTCCTGGGGAACATGTATCCATACAATCAGGGTTATCTGAAACAGCTCTGAAGTGTTGTTTTAATATTATCAATAGAACAGCATCAACCACTATACCTAGAATCACAGAAGAGTTTAACTCAGATCAAATGGATTATGGCTATAACTATTATTATTAGTTAACTATTAAGTATGTCTCCTACAGCATCTGATATCTGAAAGGGTTATCTTGTTCTCCTTAATGACTGAGCCAGATTGCCAACCTGAATTGACCATAGACAGATATGAGTGGGATGATTATAAAGAATTATAGTAAAGGTTTGAGGATAATTCGCTGCAAAAGAAACAGGAACCACAGGCAAGTAAATTGTTTTAGAAAACTAATTTCTATATTTTTAATTTCCATTCACATCATCGTGCTCTTTCATTGCACCTCCGTTTAATACAACGTTTTGGTATTGTGGATTTAACTGAAAACCAGTATGTAATAACAAATTAATCTCTCTGCAGTCTAGTGAAAAGCTAAAAACTACTCATATCATAGATACTTTGAAGCTGCATCAGTACATATGGCAGTAAGAGGGCTAAACAACATTCACAGTAGTGCAGAACATATTATATGGTAGTTTAATGAAAAATGCATAGTACTATGTACTACCAAATGTAAAAGAATCTGCATTACTTACCTGCATCCTTTGTGTCAGGTTCACTGTAAAGAGAAGCCAGGATAAACAAGGTAAAAATCACAAAAGCCAGCAAGATGAAAGCTACTTCAAGTTTTGTGAATGGCAGCTCCATGTATTGTTACCTAAACAAAATGCAAACACTTACTTGGTATACATGAAGTTGAGTAGAGAAGTTTACTTAACATTTTTTTTAGAGGATATTACATCCTGGACAAACAGGTTGAGTCAGTTATGCAGGAAAAGAAGTACAGCTGTTAAAAAAAGGATTGATGTATTCCATCCCATAAACATTTTTGTGTCAGTTACATAGGATATTAAAGGATTAAATTTGCTGTATGTTTGCATTTCTGTTATAGGTAGAACACAGTTATAATACATTGGAGTTCATTTTAGAGGTCATGAAAATGTTTTAATATGGAAACTTCACAATTTGAATGCCTTACAAATATCCTTCATAACCAGGATGTTTTCACACTAGATGATAAAGATAGGAGATAAACATTTGTACATCACTTGATTGGAGAAAATTACCTTGGGAAAAGATGAGGATAAAAATAATGAAAATGTTGGATGCCTTGCAGTCTGTTCAAACTTTAGTTTTCGTTATAAAGATTGTGGCTGAATACCTGGTTGAATAACCCTAATGTTTAAGAGTGTATCAACCTGAAGCCTTAATCTTTCTTAATGTTAACCACATTTCCTTATTTTTTTTAAAGAAGATGAACTTAAATGAACTTAAAACTAACTGTTTCTTAAGTAAACATTGTGTTCCACTATGGGAAACAACTGATCAAAGGAATATATATTTAATTAATTTCATGTAAATATTTATGAAATCATGCTCATGTTATTGAAGTTTTAGAAAGGTTGTGGGGAAGAATATTTGCCCACTCCCCCAAGCCTGTAGTCATTTCAATTAATCTTTTTGAAAAATTGTATGTAAGATAATACTCTTATTACTGGCAAAAGATGGCACTGTTTAACTGCTATCTGACATAAGTACTGTAAATGTGAACTTCTCATCAGATGAAATGAAGTGCAATTCAAAGGACTGAACTTTGAGCTTACAACAACAAAGAATTATTGTGTAACCACTGGAATTTTACCAATGAATTATGCCTGCATATTTTTTTTCTTTCAATATTGCATTATGTAGCAAAGAGGATTGATCTGTCAATCATATGCAAAGCTGTCTATTGTGTCAGCCTCTTTCTTAAGAAAAAGTTGCTCTGGATTACAGTTTGTATCATAGGTCATCTGATTTCCTTTGATTTAACCACTTGTAAAAGGAAAGGAAAGAAAGTAGTGACAGGTATTAAATACGAAAGTTGAACAATATGGAATTTGGAAGAAAATCATGGAAAGAGCCATGGTGGCCTAATAGTTAGAATGCAGCATTGCAGGTTAATTCTTCAGACTAATTCTGCTGATTGCCAGCAGTTTGAGTCTCACTGGCTCAAGTTTGGCTCAGCCTTCCATCCTTCTGAGGTCAGTAAAATGAGGAGTCAGATTGTTGGGGGCAATATGCTGTCTGTAAACCTCTTAGAGAGGGCTGTAAAGCACTGTAAGTCTATGTCTTATTGCTAGCGCTATCATGGTCAATGGGTGGCTATTTCTTATTTATGTATCCTTAGAAGTAGCACCTAAGGAATTCAACATTCTTTTTTTGCTACCTGATAAATACAGATATTAACCTACAGCCTAAATGCATTATTTATATGCTGATTTCTAAGGCAAAATGTAGCATAAAAATGGATTAGATTTTTGGTTGTATTTGCCTCATTTTGCCTGAAATCCTGCACCAATTACCTGAGAGTAACCATTATTAAACTCAGTGGGAGTTTAATAGTTAAAAGATTGCATTGCTAACCACTTTTGCTATAGTTGAATAGCCCATAACAATCTCTTATGACACCTGGGGAAGCTAACCGCCATGTTACCTAATACAAAATAAAACAACAACAACCATGAATGCTTCTGTAAAAAACAATATTATCTACCATTTGAAAGAGAACAAATAAGTGTTGTATATTAATAAACGACACATGAAGATTCTTATTTAAGAGACCATCTCTTGTTTTTAATTTGTCCTATCCAATCTGACGGGAAGGACATGCTCCAAGGGTCAGCTGGTGAGGCCCAGAAAGAGAACATTTTCTGCTATTCTGCCCACTCTTTGGAAAACTATACCCTCTTGGATCAAACAAGTTGTTGGCCTTTTGCAAGGACCTGAAAACTTGGTTTTGTGCTTAAGGTTGGGGTGCTGACTGTGCCAGGAGATCTCATTTCCTGACGATGCTACTGCTTGCTTCACTGTACTCGGCTGCTATGTTTATCTATTACAGTGGTTCTCAACCTGTGGGTCGGGACCCCATTTGGGGTCGAACGACCATTTCACGGGGGTCGCCAAACAACGCAGTCCGCCATTTTTTTCCCCCTTTTCCTTAGCTGTGCTACTCCCTTTTATTCTATTGGCTTTTGAAAGCAATAGAATAGACTCTCTTGAATAGAGTCTAATTCTATTGGCTTTCAAAAGCCAATAGGAATTGTCCAGGCTGTCTCTGCCCTGCTGAGCCCGCCAAAAGTCCCATTCTGCAAACGGTGCTGCACCAGTTGAGTAGTCCTCAACTTATGACCAGTTGAGTAGTCCTCGACTTACGATCAGTTGGGGGTCGCGGCATTAAAAAGGTTGAGAACCACTGATCTATTATGTCCTTAATTCATCTTTATTGTAAATTGCCTAGTGTCACATGTTTGAGATTGGCAGCTGTATAAATCAATTAAGTTTGTTTTCATTTATTAGGTTTACCGGTATGTGATGCCCATCTCATCTAGAGGAGACTAAAATGAGGGGGGGGGAAAAGGAAAAGAAGAACATTTTTACTTTCATATTATTTTGTAAAACTGGTTAAATCATCAGTCTTTATGGTAAAACTTCTAAGGATCAGAAAACTGTGTGGGTTATGCCACTTAAAAGTATAACTTTTAGTTACAATTTTTTAATATAAAGTAGGATGCTAATCAATCTGACCATAATCAAAGGTGATGACATTCCTTTAGGAATAATATCCTTAGCTCTCTATTATTTTATAGCACTACATCTAAAATAGTCTATCTTCCAGGATATTTTAGAACTCCATGGAACAATTTAAATTTATAATATTTTTACAAATATCTGAAAACCTTGCTTTGATAAATGAGATTAAAACAGTGGTTCTCAACCTTTTTAATGCCACGACCCCCAACCGGTCGTAAGTCGAGGACTACTCAACCGGTCTTAAGTCGAGGACTACTCAACTGGTGCAGCACCATTTGCAGAATGGGACTTTTGGCGGGCTCAGCAGGGCAGAGACAGCCTGGACAATTCCTATTGGCTTTTGAAAGCCAATAGAATTAGACTCTATTCAAGAGAGTCTATTCTATTGGCTTTCAAAAGCCAATAGAATAAAAGGGAGTAGCACAGCTAAGGAAAAGGGGGAAAAAATGGCAGACTGCATTGTTTGGCGACCCCCGTGAAATGGTCGTTCGACCCCAAATGGGGTCCCGACCCAAGGTTGAGAACCACTGGATTAAAAGGTATTTGAGGGCATTTTTATTTTCTTTGCAAAACTAAATCAGATACAGGTGCCCAGTCTTTCATTTGCACTTTAAAACTATGACATTAAAGACAAAAGAAAGCTTCATCCCATTTTATCAGTATGAATGCTCATATCAAGACTAGTTGCCATAGAAAGTTAGTATGAAATATATGGGTTTATTTGAACTTATATTACCCTTTCCAGGAAAAAAATAATATTTTTTTTTGTAGTGATTCCTTCTTCCATTAGCAACTAGAAAAAGCTCACAAGTCAGTTTTTTAATTATTACTAGTGGATGCACACATTATATTTATTGTTCCAAGGTTTATATTAATGCAGAATAGATGCAACCAATGGAAAAATAAACATTGCTATGAAACCTAATCCTTCTTAATGAGTTCTTTTGGATAGTTCCCAAGAAACTGGCACAGATGGAAGAGAAGTGAATATGTTATTGGAACATTTGTTTTTTTGTAGAAGGAATATAATAATGCATTTTCATTCAGATTTTTTTCTGTCTGATGTTTTTGAGTACCATTTCCAAAAACCAGAAAAAGATTTAAATAAATTAAAACAAAGGAAGAGAAACAAGTAGACTAGATTAGCATTCATGATTTTATATCTAAGTCAAAATCCAGCAGAACTCAATTGCATTAAGCCAATTGAAGTTAATAATTTTGGAGAATATAAATAAAAAAAAACATTAAGATTTGATTTGAGTAATCAGCATATAAAATAACTTTTATTCAAGAGAAAAATAATTTATCTAATTAATAAGCAGCAACCAATTATTTCCTGTATAAGATATATTTAATTTCATGTTTTCATTGTTTTACATGACTCATTATCATCTGCCTATAGTTTTGACTCATTATTATTTTGCTGATTATTTTGCCTTTTCGTGTTTTGATTCTATCTTCCTCCATATGTTCACTGCAGCAAATTAATATAATAGGAATAGGAACATATTTTCAGTGATGTGAGAAATGGGGTAGGACAGCATTAGATCACAAAAAAAGAGTTCTAAATATCTGCATCCAACACTCTTTGTTCAAGTATAAAAATATATCCCTACAATGTGAATTTCTGAATCCTACAAATAGGATGAATCTTAAAGAAAGGTAAAGTTCCCTTCCTTCCAGTCATGTCCACCTCTAGGGGGTGGTGCTCATCTCCATTTCTTAGCCAAGGGAGCCAGCGTTGTCCATAGACATTTCCATGCTCATGTAGCCAGCATGACTATATGCTGAGATGCACAGAACACTTATCTTCCCACTGAAGTGATACTTATTTATCTAGTTGCTTTTGTATGCCTTTGACCTGCTAGGTGGGCAAAAACTGGGGCAAGTAACAAGAGCTCACCCTGTCATGCAGCACTTGGTCTTGAACCCAGGCTGTCAGCTATCCAGCCGACAAGCTCAGTGTCTTTAAAAGCTAATCTTAGA